CTGCCCCCCCCCCATCCTTACCAGTGTGCATGGCATGCTGTCCTACTCTCGTTTGGGCCATTCTCCTAAGCATGCAGTGCCTCCATGTTGTTCCAAATATGTGTTTACTTGATGACACATGGTGTGGAGAGTCATTGAGTTTATTTTTTTACCATCTTCAAATCCCCTTCAGAGAGATGGTTGTTCAGGTCATTGGCCCAGTTTCAAAAGTCAGGTTGTATATTTGCTTATTGTTGAAGTGTAAGTGTTCATTGTCTATTTTGGATAAACAAGCCTTTGTTGTTGTTTTGTTTTGTTTATAGATATTTCCTCCAAGCCGGACCTTTCCTCCCATTAACATTCACCTGACAACTTGACGGTGTAATTCATAGAAAATGTCTCCCTTTCTCTGTCTCTCTGTCTCTGAAAGAGGCCCATCACTTGGCCTAGCCTCTACATCACAGATTGGCCTCAAATTTTGCTTCTCCTGCCTCAGCCTCTCAAGTACTGGGATTAGAGCACACATTGCAAAACGTGGCAGCTTTTAGTTTTAAGGTAGTCTAACTTAGCAATTCTTTCCTTTATGTGAGGTACATTTGGTGTTCTACCTAAGTACCCAGATGCACACATCTGGTGGGTCAGAGGGCAGAAAGAGTAGGATGCTGATGCCCCGCTGGCTTTCTGCTTTCCCCATTCTATTTGGTCTGAGACTCCATCCCAGGGGATGATGCCATCCACAGTCGGGGTGGGTCTTCCTGCTCAGTGAAAACTCTTTGGAAACTCCCTCAAAGACATTCCCAGTATGTCTCCTGAGTGGTTCTTTTAAAACGTCACTGTCACACCAAAGATGATCTGTATTTTTGTATACTATCTTCCATGGTTTTATGACATCTTTCATAGTTTCATGTTGTACTTATTTTGGATCTGAATCTCACTCAGCTCTCTAGCTATGGATACCCAATCTTCAGTACCACTCATAGAAAAGGCCATCTTGGCACCAATGGCTCCCTTTACATTTTTGCCAAAGTCCTACTGGGCTTCTTATTTTTTCAGTAAACAAAGATAGTCAATAGCATCATATCAGTTCCTGTGATGGCTAATGCTATCAACTCAGTGGGATCTGGAATTAAAGATACCTTCAAGGTGGATTTTCCCTCCTCAGTTAAGCCTCTTTGGAAATTCCCAAGACATGCCCAGAGATGTGTCTCCTGAATAATTCTAAATCTAGCCAGGTTGACAATGTAGGTTAACCATTGTAAATAACGGTGGCTAGTTCATAACAACTGTCATGTAAGGACACCAAGAGTTATTATTTTCATTTTTCTTTAATTTTTTTAGACAAGGCCTTATGCAGCCTAGGCTGGCCTTGAACTTGCTATGTAGTCCTGAACTTCTGGTCCTCCAACTTTTATCACCACATCCCCTTTATGCAGTATTGGGGACAGAGTGTCAGGTCATCTGTCAGTCAGGTGGGTTACCATCCTGGCCACCAGTTTCTTTCTCCTAACACAAGGGAAATTCCTATTCAGACAAAAAGAACTGTGTTTTGGAAACACTGAAACTGTGAACCTTACTCCAAGGTCCACAGAGAAGCACTCACAGATGTCACCTCCTAACCCAAACACCCAAACTCCTCCCATTCTTTGTGCACCTCCCCAGATTGGCCACCAGAGGGCTCTCTGGCCTTAAGAACCAATTCTCCCCCTAGAGAAACTGCTGGCCTGAACAAGGGGTGAGCTCATGGACTCAAGTCTGATAGCTGGAAAACCAGCATAGGACAGACCCAGATTCCCTGAATATGGTGTTATTTGGGAGGACTGGGCAGTCTGTGGGACATCTGGTAGCAGATCAGTATAAGAATGGACTTTGGGAGCCCATTCCACATAGAGGAATATTCTCTCAGCCTAGATACATGATATGACAGATTTTGAAGACTCCCCATGGAAGGTTTCACCCTGGGGAGCAGAAAGGGGATGGGATGGGGGTTGGTGGAGCGAACAGGGAAGGACGGGAGGGTTTGGGAACTGGGATTGACATGTAAAACTGTGTGTGTGTGTGTGTGTGTGTGTATACATACATACATACATACATACATACATACATACATACATACATATATTCCAATCCTCCCATCAAGCTGCTTGCGCCCACAGCTGCTTCAGTGCCAAAGGACAGTCTTTGTCACTGCAGGACATAGAGAGGTTACAAGGTGCCAACGTGTTGGGACCCTGACTTGGTGCTGCTGATTGAAAGCCTGGCCTGTCTCCTGAGATGCAGGAATGTCCTCTTGGACCCAGCTCAGCAAAGACAAGTCTAATATTTTCTCAAATTCTCCAATAAGCCTCCAAGGTCCAGCCAAGGAGAAACTGCTTGGTGATATTAATGTGAAATTAAAAGCATAACAAAGGTAATTTACCTGTCCATGCATGGAGTCCCCAACCAATTCAGGAACAGGCTTGCCCCTAGGGCATACAATGAGGATGGAAGGCAGTTTCAGCCAATGCTCTCTGCAGCTTAGGAGCTAGGCAAGGGGCAAAGTGCAGAGACCCTCATTAGTCACGGGGCATTGATTCTAGGGCTCGCCACGGATACCAGACTCTGGAAGCTTCAGTAACTGTACAAAACAGTGTTTTGCTTGCCTGTAACTTACACAGATCTTCCTACATACTGCATATTTTCTCCAGATTGTTTCTCATATCTAAGGTCATACAGGTGAGACAAAGCACAAAAATCTGTACATGCTCAAAATTAAGTGTAATTTTTCCAAGTATTTGCTATGCTGAATTGCTTGAATCTGCAGCTGAATTACCTACAGACCATGAAAGGTTGATGGAGCCACATCTCCCTAGCACAGGTAAGCATAAGACTAACCAGACAGCAGCACATAGCCGAGGAAGGAGCCAAAAATTCCCACCAAACTAGCCAGGGAAGATTCCAGGGACAAGCAGCCATCTGTTCTGGGTGTTAAGAGTTGAGCCCCAGGTTGAGCAGCCAATTAGGTCAGGAGCAAGCAATGTGGAGGACTAGGGTCTGAGAATGCAGACAGCAGGGATGGTTTCATAGATGACAAAGGAGGACAAAGGAGGGTGTATGAACAGAGCAGACCAGGGTCAGAGCAGTGTGGGTGTCCTCAGTACCCAGTGGGTCTGGGGGTGGGGGCTTCTCTGTGCACACTGAAGGGCAGATGAGAAAGGATGAAAGCAAGAGACAGGTGCTATGGGTCTGGGGTTGGCGGCATGAGGTGAGAGACCTGGCTAGTTAGAAAATGTGGACCTTGAGTAAGTTTTTAAAACCTCTGGATGTTTCTGTTTGCAGAGGGTATATTGCCAGAAGTTTCTTTCACTGGTTCTTAGTACTAAAAAAAATGCTATATAGAAAAGAAAAAGCCTATACACATTACACATTATTCTACCTTGACCATTGAAAAGGCAGGTTTGTATAGTTCTCATAGACACACACCTTCGTTCCAAGGTCAAGGGCAGACTGTTATGGGGAGGGGGATGGTTACAAAATGCTGGATCTGGGGGAATGGCTCAGTGGGTAAGAATGTCTGTTGCACAAGCATGAGGACCTGAGTTCAGATCCCCAGAACCCAAATAAAAACATGAAGTAGTCATGCACACACTTTTAACCCTAGTGTCATAGGGGCAAAAATATGAGGAACCCTGGGTCTGGCTGGCTGCAGTCTAGCTCCAGGTTCAGTGAGAAATCCTATCTCCAGAGAGTAAGCAGGATACCCAACATCTAGGTGGGCGCGCGCACGTGCTTGTGCGCGTGCACACACACCTCCACCAAATAAATAAATAAACACTTAAGACCAAGGCAATGTTTTATATTTTTATTGAGATGGTCTCAACTCATCAAGCTGTACACCAAAAAACAGTCAAATATTTCTAAATATAGATTACAATCCAATTTTTTTTTTTCAGAAAGGTGAGGGAGACTAATGGCCATCATCTATGGAAATGCGCCATTCAAGATTCCCAGTCTCCAAGAACATCCACAAAGGGGGAGTGTCTACCTAGAAAACCAGGGTCAGTCCACGGTCACCCAGATGTATGTCTCTATCAGAGCAATGGGTTTACCCTAAGGGACCTGGAGATCTGGGGGTGGGATTACAGTCATTAGGCATGAATGACACCTTGATGTGGATCATGTAAACAAGTGTTCTGGCTTCCCTCAATATTTTCAGAAATATTTTCTAAACCTTTCATTTTCTTTTATGATATTCCCATCCCTCACAACACCCCCTCTCACTCCTCCCCCTGCAAAGAGGCAGCACCTTGAGAAGTGCTTGAATTCTGGCACCAAAAGCCACGGTGTTGCAGTTCCCTGTGCCAGCTGCAGGTCTGCAAAGACTGAGTCTTTAAGCCTTTGGCTTGACTCAGTATATGTGTGGGCATGCACGACCATGCACCAGACAGGCAGTATCAGTGACAAACACAGATGCAACGGTGAGTTTGTAGCCATCTCAGTTAGTGTAAGCAAACTCTTCGTGTGCATAAATCTGTACATGCATAAAAACAGATTTCAGAGAGCTGGCCTGGCTGTGGCTGGCAGGAGTAAAATTCCCAGGCCGAGCTGGCCTCAGTCAAGCATGGAAGATCAGAAGATGGCACCATGGTGTAGAGACAGAATCAATTGCTCCTCAGGAAGCCACAGTTCAAGAGCTTTCAGGCGAGATGAAACTGTCCACACACTATGGAGGGTAATCTGTACCTAGTCAACTGCTACAGATGTTAACATTTGCAAACACCTAGGCTTTTATTTGACCCAAAAAACAAGCTGACACCTAAAACTACCCACTGGTACATCCAGAAGGCATTGGAAATGCCTATCAAGGATTTCAGAGGAATGCTAAGGTGGTTTAGGGAGGTGGGATTGTTTAACAGAAAAAAATAAAATCCTTGGTCCCTTTCTCAGACCCCCTCTCCTTTCAACAGGCTGTCCTATCCTGAGTGATGTTTTTGTTGTTGTTTGTTTGTTTTTTGAAGTGTAAAAACAAAGACACAGATTGCAACTTCTCAAAAATAAAAAATAAAATTCATTTATTGAAGAGGAAATTTAACACATCAAGATCCATGTGTTCAACCCAACTGAGACCTAGACGTTCTGACATGACCCACATATGTACGATCGCCCTACTGAAATCGCATCTGAGGAGGCGCGTGACACACAGTGCTGTCTAGCTCTCAAGACTCTGTACGGCAGTTCTCTTGTTCCTTGATTCGAACGTTCACTGACAGTTTACAACACAGACATGGAATCTTATTTTTCATTAAAAAGAGAGAAAGAAAACAGTTTCTTCAACATCACCTTGATTTAAATCAAAGGACAAACACCATGCACCTTATAGCCCATTGCTCACTTCTTTTTTCTGATATCTGCCTGTGGGGACAGTTTAATGTCCCTGACCAGGAATGACTCCGGGTACACAGAAAAGGAAGGAACCAATCAGGCGGAAGCTGGCGTAACCAGCAGGACTAAAGTGCCTTCAAGTATTGACCACAATTTCAAAGACAAGCCAGACGGCTTGCTTTCCCCTAATGGCCTCTGATTTGTAATGTACTTTAGAAAATGAAATTCTAAAGTCGGCTTGGCGCCACCCTGCTGATTACCATGTCCCACCACTCTGTCTGGTTCCTGTAGCAGGTCTCAAGCAAGTCTCAGTGTCCCAGTGGGAGTGGTGGCTGGGGCTGGCCAGTAGAGAAAGCAAACCCATGTCCAGCGCCCTCGGTGTATACAGAGGACGGAGAATGCTGTAAACATGATCAAAGCTCTGTACTTCCTGGAAGGATCCAAAGACATGACACTGAAGAGAGGGAGAAATCTGAGGATGAGAAAGCCTAAGGACAAGCTCTGGGATCTGCCTTCAGACAACTGATCACACTAAACCCATGACTTCCAAAGGTGAGCACCTTCCATAGGGGTGGCTAGGGAGGCAAGGTGGGTGGGGCTAAGCTAACCCTCACCTCTCCTGACCCAGACAGCAGCACATTACAAATGATGCCACTAGTAAGGGCAGGGTGAGCTACATAGGCTGGATCACATCTTCCCAGCAAGTACTCACATTCAAGTCTGGGATAACAGGGTCTCTGAACTTCGGGTATAGGCAAGGACCAGGCAGCCTGTCTGCCCTTAGGGCATCTGGATGCAGGCTTCCTCTTCACAAAGCCTTACTGTTCTGAGTGTTTTCTCACCAGGTGCCACCTGGCTCCCACCTGATGGCAGAAGAGGCTGGGAGGACCCTGAGGGAAGGTTCATGTGAGCCCTTAGGCTGTGTGCTGCACAGCCTGGGACTACTTGCTTAGCAGCTGCCTGGTGTCCATCCAAAAAGGTCCTGGTCTTCCTGAAAGAGTCAAGCCACCAAACTGCCAGTGTCTTGGGAGCACAGCAAGAGGTCACACCAAGGAAGCTTCCACTAGCCCAATACTAAAGAAGGCACTCCACATGGTCTCATGCCAGGACCCTGAAAAGACAGCTGGCCTTGTGCGTTGGGTCTTGACTTCCAAAGCCACCTGGATAGGGGTGCCTCTAACGGTTCTGAATACAATGTCCCTCCAACCAGGAATCCATCCATGTTCAGGTGGCTTCTAGGAGAGAGCCTGACCCACAGCTGGTTGCTAGAACCCAAGCCCAGAAATAGCAGGTCAGTATCAGAACCTACTTTGGGCATTTTCCAGCTGGAGACTTCCCAAAGCAAGGCATGTGTGAAGCCCAGCTGGCTGGCACCTGGCCATATAAGCACCCTTGGAGATGCTAATGAGCAGAAAGGGTAAAAAAGCACTGCTTTCCTAGGGGCTAAGGACCTGCAAGACAGCAGTGCCTTCTCCTAGCATCACTGCTTGGACATCCACAGTTGTTGCTGTTGTAAGCCAGAGGCCACACTTCCCATCCTTTGACCTGGAAGTTACTCGGCAGACTTTGGACAGAACAGCAGGAAAGGGCTTGGCTGCAAGCTAGGGCCATAGCCCTTCTAGCTTCTGTCAAACACAAAAGCAAGACCCTGTTAAATTCTTGCTCCTTTCTCTATAAACCAAGGTTCAAGGCAAATCCTGTCTCTAGGTGAGAGCCTGGTAACCAGGATGGAGGACACATGAACCACTCTGCCATGTATGCACGTGTGCATACACACATATGTGTGCAGTCACACACACAACTCAGGTATGGGGAGCTATTGACTGCCCTTTGAAAATCCTTCTTACACCAACAGGGGAGCAGTGGCAAGCTACAGACTTTCTTAGCTGCCTCAAAGGCCCACCCTGAGGAGACTGATCTAGAAGCCATGTGATTCTACAGGAGGCATGATGCAGGGTGGAGATAGGTCACAGTTAGTGTTTAGTGGTTCCTTGGAAGCCCAAGATACAGAGGCAGCCTGGGGCAAGGCAGGACTTCTGCTCTCTCCCAGGAACTGTAAACAATGACCCTTGTGTGTTGTGTCTAAGTTAGAACCCACACCTCTGTCCTCAGCCAGCACACCACAAGTACTTCCGAATGCCCATATGGATACAGTCTCATAAATGGAAGTCCACACATGCATGGATCTCCTATGGGGGGGGGTGTATGCTCACATGATCTGTTTAAGGTCTCTGAGCCAACTGGGTGTGGCGGCTCAAGATAGCAATCTCAATACCTGAGGCAGAGGCATGAGGACTAAGAGTTCAAGGTCACCCTTGACATAGAAAAGTTCAAAGCCAACTTTGGTGACATGAGACTGTGTCTCAAAAAACAAAAAAACAAGACAAAACAAACAAAAAGAATGGCCCCTAGGCCACTCAGCCAAGAGGGTGAAGGACATCCATGGTCCCCTGGATCAGGTTTCTTTGTGGCAGGAGAAGCCATGTGCAAGCTGCTGGGGGAGAAGTGGTCCACCATGATGCCAGGTCTGAAGTCAGATCCCAAAACCTAAGCTTCAATAAATTATAAATACCTCCAATCTGGGCAGCATCTCATTATCTTTAAGAGCTAAAGGAATCAGGAGGGCAGTATTATGACCTACACAGAGGAAATGAGAGAAGAGGTGGTGTGGCCTGTGGGTCGGGAAATCCAGAAGCCTCTCTGGACTCAGCTGGGTGGGAGAGTGAGGTACACAGCATTTGGGAGCCCGATGAGAAAGAGGCCTGGCTTTATAAAACGTCAGAGTCCCCGCTTATTTAATCTGGCCTTGGCCCTGGGAAGGGGCAAAGGTCAGGAGCAGGACACTACCTAGTAAATAAAGTGAGCTGTGCGATGGGAATAGTTTAGGTGTGGCAGGTCAGGTGAGGAAGGCCAGTGCTGGGGGAGGGGGGCATGATGAAGGAAAGCAGAGACTGCACCACCACAAGTGGAGTGTCTGCTCCCCACCCTCCCCCACAACTCGGTCTCACCTAGCCCAAGGTACCTAAGGGTCCAATGCCAGATGGAGGAGTGCCCAGGCAGCAACCCAGCCTTTCTCCAGAGGCTGAACCATACCTGAGGCTGAGGGGACACTACTGGGAGACACACAAGGGTGGGGCTGGGCAGGTGCAGGGAACACACCCAGATCCTTATATGAAGGCACTGGTGGAATTGGTAGAGGTGTCACCATGGCTTGGCTGGATCAGCTCACACAGAGACTCGTAGGTCCCCACCACGAAGCCCAGGAAGCCTAGGATGCTGATAAGGGCATCCTTGGTGATGGCCAGGGGGCTCAAGCCCTCCCCATAGAAGGTGATCACCTCCAGCAGGGGCGGGATGATGAGGGCCAGGGCGCTGCTGCTCATGGAGCCCACCAGGGAGATGACCAGGTCCAGGCGTGGGATGAGGATGGCCAGAACACCTGCAGAGAGAGGGGACATCTTTGGTCAAGAATGCCTGAGACTATGCTCACTGGCCAGGAAATTCAGCCTGGGACCACATTTGGAATACAGAGCTTAAAGGAAATCAGGATGCTATTTATAGTCCAATCTCTGGGCAATATGTGATCGGAGATGTAGAATTACTATGGTCTCCTGGCTCATGACAGCACCATTACAAGTTACTATGTCATGATTGCTTTAGTATGTATCCTAGGCTGCCACTGAACTGGAGATCTTCCTGTCTCAGCCTTGCCTTCCCTCCCCTCCCCCAACGCTGGAATTACAGTTGTGTACTGCTCTCTCAGCTGGTCTTCTATTGAATCTCTCCCAAAGGGGAGGGTGGAGGTGGGGTGGAGAACAGCGGGTGGGCCTTCCTGAGGAACCACTCACTTCCTTACACTGATGGAGCTACACATACAATCAGTCAAGTGCCAAAGAGGAAGGAATATACATTCCCAACACTTCCTCTTCCAGAAGACACCATGATAACTTCATCGAGTGCTTTCATGGGGGGGGGGTGGAGGGGGGCGGGAGTGGGGGAGTGGTTCTGCCTGAAGATCCCCTTCTAGGGAAAGCCCACCATATCAACCAGCCACGTCGGTCTTGAGACAGTGCACAGTGTATATTTTGAACTGGTTCTGCAAGCCAAAACTGGGCTCAAGAGACAGCTGGTGACATCCCATGAGCCTTGCAGTAGATGAGAGCTGGAGGGACACACAGTAGATTGCTCCTACCACAGGGCACTGCCGGAGCTGCTGTACCCAATCCTGGACTGAACTGCTTGCCCTCTCAGGGGTCTGGGGTCTGAGTCTCCCTTTGCCTCTGTCAGCCTCATAGTACCTGCTCTGAGTTGCAGGGTGGAAACATAAGCAAGGCAGGGAATTGAGTCCAGGAAGGGTGAGGGAGTGTGGCTAGGGGTATAGGCTCTTGGAGTGCCCTGTCTCATCTCTCAGCCCCAGCACCAGACTAACCCCAACTAACAAACAGTGACCAAAGGGGGTCACTCACATCAAGAACTTAAGAGAGCTTAAGTGACAAACAAGCAAACAACCTTGGAATAAACCTAACCAGGTGAGAGCCAAAAGAGAGATCTCTACAGTGAAATGAAACTTTAAAAAAGAAAGGAAAAAAAAAGTCAAAGTATTCAGCAGTGGCGGCACACACACCTTTAATCCCAGTACTCAGGTGGCAGAGACAGGTGGATCTCTGTGAGTTCAAGGCCACCTGTTCTACAGAGTGAGTTCTAGGGCAGTCAGGAATACACAGAGAAACCCTGTCTCAAAAACCAAAACTGTATGATGCTACAGAGGCTGGAAAGGTGGTTTAGCAGCTAAGAGTACTTACTGCTCTTGCAGAGGACCCAAGTTCAGCTCCCACCACCCATATCAGGCAGCTCACAACTGCCTATAACTCCAGATCCAGATCTAGGAAACCCAATGCCCTTTTCTGACCCTCGTGGGCATTGTACCTTAAAAATAAAATCCATTAAAAAAAAAAAAAAAAAAAAAAAAAGAAGTCTGGGAACTGGAGAGAAGGTTCAGTGGTTAAGAGTTGGCCGCTATTCCAGAGGACCTGGGTTTGATTTCCAGCACCCACATGGTGTTCATAACTCCAGTTCTAGGAGCGTTGATGCCCAGGCATCAGGCATATATATGGTAAACATCCATACACATACAATCAAAATAAAATAAGAGGTTGGGATGGCATCTCCCTATTTTTCTTGGATTTATAAGTTGAGGAAAGGGAGGAAATGTAAAGAAAACATTAGAGACAGCAATAAAAACAGGCCACCAATAAAGTGTGCAGATATAATTGAAAACAGTCACATAAAATGGAAAGTGACTCACCAATCAACTTTGCCACAAGAACTGAATAAACAGAGAAGAACAAAATGAACCCACACAAGTACATTTGAATTAGTGCTACCGAGAAGCCTCTTCGCCTCCCACAATTACTTCAAAGTCTCCAGGGAAGCCAGGAAAAGCTATGGAGCTGGCAGAGATGAAGGGGCTGTCTCCTTTCATAGGACAATGAACCAGAACAGATCACAGGGGATGGGAGAGCAGAATATGCTCTCAGAGATCAAACACAGCCCAGCCCTGTGAATGTCCTTCAGTACAAAGGAGAGTGAGGCCCAGATTGAGCCAGGAAAATCAAAGCAGAAAAACTGAAGAGAATCTAAGACTGAGGTCTGGAGCCACTGACTATCACTTCCTGCAGGACGGGGTAGGACTAATCCTGTCAGGAAGCAGGTCCTACGCTTTGGGACATTATGCAGAGACAGACCTACTTTTTCTGTAGGGTCCTTATTGGGAAGACAAGTTATTTGAACAATATATATATATTTGTCTCTTCCAAAACCCTTTAGATTGAAGAAGCAGGCCCTCAGAGCTGATGAGACAAGACACTATGCACACACAGAAGCAGTCACCTCAACATTTGAGCTAATCTGTTCTTGGAGGACATACAGCCTAGTGTGCACCGGGAGCTGCTGCAGAGGGTGAGATCAAAATGCAGCTTGTGTGGTTGCTCCAGACCCTCCCTAGCTTATCTGTCTCATGGGCTGTTTCTACCAGGAGAGGGGCTAGAGTCTGCCAGAGGGTAGAAGGACAAGCCTACTTCTCAAGCTATGAGTTCTACAAAGGGCTGGGGGATCCATGAGGACCAGACTCAGTTTATAAGACATCCTTAGGAGAGCTGCTCAAGGTTAAGCGGAAGGATCAAGGTCACCTCCTGAGTTCTAGAGAGTTCTTTCTACATAGATGCCAAGAAGGATGGTCTTCTACCCACTGACCTTGCAGGGAAACAATGAGTCAAGTGTGGTGGGCCGCACCAGTAATCCCAGCACCTGGGAGGTTGAGGTAGTAAGATCAGAGGTTCTAGGTCATTTAACACCACAAGTTGTCCTCTGATCTCAACATAGATCCTGCCATCATACATGCATATAATAGTAAGTAAAACAAGAAGACATTCAACTCCATTTCAATATACAAATATGTATGTATACATATACATACATATTTGTATATGCATATGGATGCACCTGAGGGGGAAGGAAAAATCATATAGACCCATCTTAATTCCAAAAGTGCAGGCTAGGATTAAATAATTTAAGGACATTTTCAGGGAAGTTTTAATATAATAAGCAATGAGGCACTTACCCCAAAACAATAAAACTAACACAGAAGCCCAATTTGGCAAACTGCTATCTCCTGGAAACCAAATCAGAAATTAAGGACCAGTTGGTTAGGGAGTCCCTGGTTTAACTCACAGAGGCAGTGAGGAAAAGTTAATTTTTAAAAATTGGCCTCGCTTTCAACAAACAGAACATAAGGTGATCTTCTGACTTTAATGTTTAACTCATAACCCTTGACTCAGGATAGAGAAAAAGGGAATTAAAAACAAAAAAACAGAGGTAAAATAATCTCCCCAGCTCAAGACGGACAGCTTTTTTTAAACTACAAACACATACTATTAAGTCCTCATTACAGACAAGGTAAAGTGGCTAGCTATTGATCGACTGAGAGAGACAAGGGCTTGTGTATTCTAGGTTAGCTTTGAACTCTTGACCCTCCTGCCTCATCATCTTAGTGCAGGGACTTTGTACCACCATACCCAGTATATATGGTGCAAGGGTTGAACCCAGGGCTTCACGCACACTAGGCAAGCACTCTACCAACTGACTTGTAACTCCAAGCCTCTGCAGTGCCTTTTAGATATTTATCTATTTTAGATGGAATAGTAACAGTGCTTCTATTAAAGTTTTCACTACTCACTATGGATGTGGTTGAAGTGGCTATCCATCTATCCAACCATCAGTTCATCCATCCATCCATTTATCTATTCATCTACCTTTTTATCCAGTTATCTGTCTATCCATCCATCCATCCACCTATCCAGCAAGTCAGCCATCTATCCATTTATCTGTCATCTACCCAGCCTTCTGTCTGCCTGTCTATCATCTATTGAAACAGGGTTTCATATATCCCAGGCTGACCTCCAACCCCTGATCCTCCTACCTCTACCTCCCCAGTGTTGGGCTTGCAGGTGTGCACCACACCCAGCTGACGCAGTGCTGAGTGAGGATGGAAGCCTGAGGCTTCACGTATTCTCTGTAAGCACACTACACACTGAGCTACATCCCCAGCACTCTGAGTGGCTTTCAGATCATTGCCCATTTAGGTTGGGACAATAACAGTGTGTCTTTGTTCTCTATTGTATTTTAGACCTCATCTATAAACTACTGTCCTTCAGGCCTTCAACTCCAGCAGTATGGCTGTGTGCCAGGCTCTCAATGGAAACAATTCAAATGTCCTCGAGGCTTTAAGTCAGTGGTTCTCAACTTTTCTAATGCTGTGGCCCTTTAATAAAGTTCTTCATGTTGTGGCGACTCCAACTGTAAAATTATTTTGTTGCTACTTCCTAACTGTAATGTTGCTATTTCTATGAATCATAATGCAAACATCAGACACACAAGGTATATGATATGTGACCCCTGTGGGGGTCATGACCCACAGGTTGAGAACAGCTGCTTTAAATAAATGCAGAAATAATCTCTTCTACTCACATGTTATGCAGACCATCACAGTGCGCACACAAAGGTCCACTATTAGCTTAAAACGCTCAGGCACTCGGGACACAATGACCGGGATGATGATCTCAGCTGCAACGTAGAACTGGAGAGCATATGTGAAGAAGATGCCTATGGAGTACAGCAGCTTCACAGACTGGTACAACCTGCAGAGAGCAGGTGGTCTTAGCAAGCTGATGGACAGAGGCCAGGGCCACCCCTGCACCCTGGAGATAACTCACATGGCCTTCAGCCTCTGAAGTTTTAGGCCTGCTTTTCTCTCTCCTCACCCTCCCCCACACAAACACACACACAAAATGCAAATGCAAAATGCAAAAAACACACACACAAAAACAGTCCTCCATAGCTTTTACATAAGCAAATACTACAAAAATGAAATGTTAATTCACAGATAATTGGCTAGACAAGTCACAGTGCCCCCACGTAGCTCTTCACAACGAGGGGGTAAGCCAGGTACATCACAACCCTAGCACTCTGGAGAATGAAGCAGGGGGACCAAGAATTCAAGGTCAGCTTCTGCTATATACTGAGTTTCAGACAAGCCTGGGCTATGTGACAACTACAAAAAGAAGGAGGAGGAGAAGGAGAAGAAAGAAAAAGAAAACAAAGAAAGACCCCCCCTCCTCCACATACACACCCACACTCACACACCTCCGATTGACACAGTATGAATGTAGAGACTGTCCCCATGGTGTGGTAAAAGGATGTCTGTACTCCTGTATGTCTGAAATCTTTGCCCTGTACACAGGAGCAAATACCTTTCAAAAACAACTATTAGACTCAAACAAGCCTATTCTGCTCTTCCCATGCAATTCAGGGTATCTTAGAATCGGTTGCAGTGAGGGGACTGGAAAGCAACACAGGCCCCTCCCCATCCCAACAGGGATGCCTTTTATCATGGATCTCTGAAACTCCCTAGCATGCCAGACATGACATGTGGTACTCCAATTTTCCACCCCCGAGGACAGTGCTTTCTAACCTGACTCAGCACACACAGGAAGTGCCACTCTGTCTTCCTTCAGCAGAACTCCACCTTCATCAAGATTTGTGCATATGGCAGTGAAAGGCACTGGCCACCCTTGGGATTAACTTTAATGTCTTATGTTTGTAATGAGAACAGGTCATCGCTGTAGTTGAACTAAACACCTACATGAGTTCTTAAGCTGTAAGAACATCCCAGAAAAGACAAGTGTGGGTAAAAAGTCTCATTTGCTAAGTATAGATAAGAAAAACTCTTTGAGGGACAGGAAACAACTCAGCTATCTGGTGGTGCTCTGAGTTAAGACCCTGAGCCCACCAGGGAGCTGCTAAATCTGGAGTCAGGAGCGCTCCCTGCAGGGACATCCAGGTAAATGCACCTGTACAGAAGCATAGGGTGAGCTGAGTGCAGCTGAGTTGGGCATCTGAGGGAAGACAGCTGCTCACTGGGGTCAGATGGAATGGGCTGCTGTGTCAGGTGTTCCTGAGCTAGTCAGCCCTTGGGGACAGGGACACAGTCCCACCCAGCCTTTGAAGGTACATTCAGTCCAGACGGAAGGACTGAAATCGCTCTGGACAGCAGTCTACTTGGTTGGAAGTGCAGTGAACTAAATCCTCAGATGCCTGCTGGCTAAGAATCCTGTGCTACACCCTGACCCACTGAGCCAGCATTTTCTCTATTTGTGCTCACCGCTCAGAGTGCCCTAAAATAGGCTGGATGGAAAGACTGCTCTAGGAGCCTGGCTGTTTCTGACTGTGCACAAAACAGCTGCTCTCTACAATAAGGTTTTCAACTTCCAAGCAGAGACAGCTTAGTGCATGCTCTGGGACATCTAGGCACTTCTGCGGGTCTCAGCATTCCCTATAGCATGCCCACCTAGGAGAGACAGTCAAGGAAGGACTCCCAATAGCCAGCAGTCCACAGTGAGATGTTCCCACTTGCACAGCATGCCTGTGACTGCCCAGACAGGCCTGTTCTCCTCCACAAGCGTCTGGAATGACTTTAGGTACAGAGTGGATACTCGGGCCTTCCAGGCTCAGTATTTCCCAGGAAAATGCCTTAACAAAAAGATGATTCACACATGAATTCGGTACAAGCTGCTGTAGAAATCACAAGCTCAGGGTAGCCAAGTGATAAGAAAAAGGGACATTCTGACCTATCACCTCCTGGAAGTTTCCAATCTCCCTCTCCCCTCCCCATACATACCAGCAATTGGGCAGGTTAAGTGTGATGCTGCCTTTAATAGCATCTCCAAATTGCAGGTACCCCAGGCTCCCCAGGCTGATATAGAGTACAGTGACAAGGGCCATCCCAGAGTACAGGATAATTGGAAACTTCTGTGAGTCCTTCATTTTGTTCTCAAGGGGTAGAACCTACAAATAAATAAATAAATAAATAAATAAATAAGTAAATAAATAAATAAAATAAGGGGAAAAGAAGAAAGAAAAGTGGACACAGCACAAAAGTAGCATTGTCAGTGCACACATGAGAACCTGAGTTCAGCCATCCAGAACCCAGAAAAAATTCCAGGTATGGTGGCATGAATCCGTAACCCCAGTACCTGATAGAGGTGGGGTGGGGTGGGAGGACAGGCTGACCAATGGACCTCACTGACCAGACATCAGTTTAGCTGAAGCAGAAACTTCTAGGTTCAGTGAGAGATGTCATGTCCAAAAGTGAACAGTGCCAGAGGGAGACATTTGATATTGACTTCTGGCCTCCAAACACAAAAGTGCATACACATGTACACACATGCACACATATGCATGCACACATGAACACATACATGCACATGGAAACACACACAGAGCATCTTAGAAGAAAATAGAATCTTTCTTGCCAGACTCCCAACTATACTCTGCTTCAGTACACAGTGAAGTCATTACTCTATCAGCAGCTACACTCTCAGGCATACAAAGGGCTTCAGAACCCACTGTCTAACCAGGAGTGAGGGGAGGGGAGAAGTCAGAGGCTGGGGGTGCCCTTTGTCTCACAGCAGTGTGGCCCCCAGCAAGACTCTGACACTTGTCTTGAGACTGCAGCCTCCAGCCATTTTTTTCTAAGCATTGGCTTCCTGTGTTTAATTTTTTCGTCGGGGGGGGGGGGGTTCTCCTGTACCTGACCGGTGTCCAACTACCTATGTAGCCAGTGATGCCTTAAACTCCTGATCCTCCCTGTCCCCACCTCCCAAGTGCTGTGGTAATGGGCACATGCCACCATATCCAGCTCAAGAGATGATTTCCAGCGGGGTTTCCTAAGCACTAAAGCAGACAGTGGGACACTAGGATGCTGGAGAGCACTCAGGCCCAATCCACAGTACCCCTCTTACCACACCGATGCCTTCAAAAGCAAAAACTGCCGTGCCAAAGAACAGAGGATAGGTCTTCCATGGAGCCACCAAGGGGAGGTGGCCAGGGTCTGGGATCCCCTGAAAAAGATGAACAAAGCCAAGGGCTATTCAGAGATTCAGGCTTTGAATCACAAGTTGAACCACTCCTCCTCCATCCAAGATTTCAAAAGAAAGAAAGACACTAACTCACAATCAAGCTGGGACAGCCACCCTTCCTCTGCCTTCAGGTTGGGAAGCCCCTACCTGCTTTGGATAAAGATCTGCCCCCAAACCACAGCCACTCACATGCTGATGCCTGCATAAGCCCCATTCTTCCCATAGGTGATCCCATCCCTAGACATTTGATATGAAAAAAAGAAACTCAAGAGACAGAAGAACCGAGCAAAGCTACTTAGCAAAGAAATGGAAAACCATCTTCAATACTCCAAAAGAAGAGATCAGTTAACCACATGTCAAACACATCACAGAGTATTATACACTATGCAAAAAGTAAAAGGTAAAGGCAGATATGTGGGGTGCATGCCTGTGAACCAGAGGCAGACATGGGGGGTGCATGCCTGTGAAGCCAGAGGCAGATATGGGGGGGGTGCATGCCTGTGAAGCCAGAGGCAGACATGGGGGTGCATGCCTGTGAAGCCAGAGGCAGACATGGGGGGGGTGCATGCCTGTGAAGCCAGACGCAGACATGGGGTGCATGCCTGTGAAGCCAGTGGCAGATGTGGGGTGCATGCCTGTGAAGCCAGAGGCAGATATGGGGGGGGTGCATGCCTGTGAAGCCAGAGGCAGACATGGGGGTGCATGCCTGTGAAGCCAGAGGCAGATGTGGGGGGGGTGCATGCCTGTGAAGCCAGAGGCAGATGTGGAGTGCATGCCTGTGAAGCCAGCACTTCAGTAGGAGGCTGAGGCAGAGGATCAGGAATTCGAAGTCAGTTTGGACTCTGTATGTGAGACGGTAAAGGAGAACATAAAAAACTGACTATGAAATAATATTGAGGAAATATTTATTGCATTATAGCCAGGAGGCTGAGGCAGGAAGGTCAGAAGTTCAAGGTAAACCTACAATATATAGTGAGTGAGCTTGAGGCCAGCCTGGGCTACCTGGTCTAAAAAAACCCAACCAACCAACCAACCAAACAAACAAACAAACAAAAAAAAAACAACTCCAACCCCAAAGTTATATAATAATCATAATGTAGCTATGCAAACATCCACAGAGATAAAGCTGGAAGACATGATTTCTAGACTAGTCTCTTCCTCCCACAGCTTATTTTTTTAATCAATTAGACCGAGCACTTTAAACCTACCAAGAAGCACAAGGAAAAGGTAGCAAAATGATTTTTTAAAACACCGAAGCCAAAGCTAAGGGTGTACACATGTACACATATATGTATAATTTTAATTTTTAAAATTTGACTAAAAAAAAAAAAGAGAAGCATTTGAGTATGCAGGATATATATAAATGGGTATCTCTGCTCTAAAATGAGACCTGAGCACAAGATCACCTAGTAATTACTTCTGAGTTGCAGAAGAAAAGATACTGGAAACAAGTGCTACCCATGGATTAGTGACTGACAGCTACCGGGTTTATCTGCCAATCAGAGGGAGCTGTGAGTACGGAGTTTCACAGTTCACTGGGTGCTGTGGGTGCTGTGTGACTGAAACAGGTGGACAGCACAGCCATCATTCCATCAGCTGAGTGACTGGTGCTGAGGATACTGATCTACAACCCAACCAGTGAAGGAGACAGTTCCCTAGACAAGGAAGCTTGCAAATTATAAACACAAGCTCAACTCTACAATACCAGTAGCATAAAAGCTCAAGAAAAATGCCATAAAACATATAGCTTGAAAGACCTAGGTGGGATAATTTCTTTGGCCTGTCACTGGAGGCCTATCTGGGGTGAACATTTGTTCCCACCTCCCCAGGAAACTGCAACATCTAATTTTAATATGTGGCATGTAAGTAGTGTGTGACCACTCCATTCGATTTCTCATATTCCACGGGATGGGGAGGGGCCTGGGATTGTACCTGGACGATGAACTGGTAGATGGTGATCAGGCTGACCAGCATGCTGATGTTGGCCAGCAGGGAGAAGATGGACAGCACGCGCAGGTTCCTGATGAAAGACAGCAGCACCAGGAAGGGAAGGAAGGAGAGCATGTAGAGTCGAGAGTCCATGGTGGGCATCAGGACCACAGTCTCATTGCTTTGGCAGTTGTTGGTGGTCCCGTTGGCTGCCTCTATCACCTGGAAAGAGAAGAAAGGAGGAAAGCCCTTGGCGACAGAGCCCATGGGTATCCGGCTGGAGAGGGTCCTGACAGACACACAGATCAGGTGTGTGAACTTATGTAGGCACCTATGGCTGAGGAACCTTCCTGGGAGTCTTTCTTGCTGCAAGCATCTGCGTTGGGTTTGATCATGTTTCATAAAAGACAGAAGGGTGTGGGAGACAGATGAGGGGCATTCCATGGTCAGTTCTTCCGGTTTTGATCCTACGCATTCCTGCTGGTGTCCAGGAAGCAGAGGGGAAAGCCTGCAGGCCCTGGTGCAGCTATAACTGGCATGCCTGAAGTGAAGGCGGACACTCTAAGGAAACACTTGCGTCCTTCTTTCTGGCTCTCTGGACTCTGGAACCCTAGGCAACTGGAATTCCCCCAGGAATCTTATGCTGAGAACAGGAGGGGCCCTGGTGCCAGCCAGGTGGGAAACCAGTCTCCTGGAAAAGGAATGGGATTCCACACAGTACCGACAGACAACCTGTCAAACCACCTTGCAGGAGAGACTGGAGCAGGGACAATGGTGGGCCAGTGACCACAGGGCCACACCTTGACCAGGGCTACTTAATTATAATTATCTCTTTCCCTCTATTTAAGCCTTAATCTCCTGTCAGGACCCTGAAGATGCACTTGGTGGGGATCCACAGATCCTTCTTCCCAGTGAGGCCATAATGAACAAGTCTTTGTCTGCTCTTCATTTTCAATTCTATTCCCTTAATTGACTTATTCAGGACATGTGGCTTCCCTTAGCTTATTAGAGAGCTAAGGCACAGGCTCTGACCCTAACTCTATTAACACAGCCTTTAGGACCAAGGATTTAGGACCACATCGGCTTCTGTCAAGGGCCGAGCAGCCTCAACAGAGCAGCACACTCTACAGATAAAGGTCCACTTCGAAAGGCTTCCACGGGAGTAACGCTAGAGGGCGCCGTCCACCGCAGCTTCCTCCAGCCTGCTGCCAGGGATTACAAAAGCTCCCTAAAACCAGCCCTTGAAGAGCTTCTCCATATGTAGGGATGATGTCCGCCAAGTAGAGTCAAAGGACCTTGAGCCAGCTGATGGCAACACAGGCAAGGCGAGTCAAGGTCTCTTTACACCACAGGTTTTCAGAGGAGAATCAAATACCCAAGGTTCAAACCCAAACCATTTTGGCTTGGGGGAGAGCCTTGAACAAAATCTCCACTTGGTTCTCACCCTTCTCTGTTTTTCAGAAGAACTCTACCTGTTTAAAATTGTCAGCCAGAAACACAAAGTAGACGCAGCAGAATCCCAGCTGAGTGACAATGAGGAAAAAGTCCACGATGTGCCTGCAGAGAGGACAGAGGAGTACAAAGACCATCAAATCCGAAGGTTTCCTGGGAGATCACCACTTGAGCAGCAGGTGACAGGCGATAAGGACAGGCTGTGGTAAGAGGACACAGTATGCCGATGTCACCAGCACAGACTTTGGGGGTGTGTGTGGAAGGGCTATCTACACTCTGCAAGCCCTTTCCCTGGCTCTTGTCTTAACGCATGAGCTCAGGACATCGCCAGAGCACAGCCTGGCCCCTGGCCCTCTCCTGCCCATCCACTGAACTTATCTTCCTTCCTAAAGCTACAGGGGGCCCTTGGCAGGAAAGGGCAGGAAGCAGGCCCTACTCAGCCTCCTCCTACAACTGGGACCCAAGAACTGATCTCGTTGTAGGTAAATACACAGAAACAGCTGTGCCAGAGCTGTCCTTGGGGCTGAAACACCATGGCCACAGCTGGTGACAATCTGAAACTCCAGTGAGATGAACAAGGCTACAGACCCTTCTTAATGCAACATATATAGCACAGCAGTTAGAAAGAATGGGTCAGATCTGGAACCACCTCTGGAGGAAACTACCCAAGGCATCAAAGGAAAAAAAAAAAAAAAAAAAAAAAAAAAAAGCAAGTTACCAAATAGCACATGCAAGAAGAACCACTTGCCAAAAAAAAAAAAAAAAAAAAAAAAAAAAAAAAAAAAAAGGGGGGGGGGATGTAAGAACATGGCATGTCTATTTGTATACAGAAAGTTCCAGAAGAACCAGAAGGGTACCCCCAGGCAACTGGACTATGGCCAGTATTTAATTCTATTTTTTCAAACTGTGTCCTCTTGCCAAGTGCAAACAATTTTCTTCCTATGAGGATAAGGAAGGGTGGGTGGGAGAACAGAGGAAAAGAAGGAATAACTGGCAAACTCTAGTGGACATTCAGCAACCTGGCTGCTGCTCAACAGATGATTTTGCCAAAGAAGAAAGAGAGTGAAGGAAGGGAGGAGAGAGGGAAGGAGAAAGGCATAGCACAGGGTGGATCTATAAGGACAGCAAGCGCCCTCTTTACTAAAACCAAAGTAGTATTCAGGCCCTTGGCCATCTGAATTCTCTACTTCTAGACAGGAACAAAAAGTGGGTTGTTTCCCTCCAGTCACCTGAAAAGTCAGGAGAAATTCCCCAAAGCTCCACACCTGCTCTGCACACTGCCCTCACCTACCTACGCCCTTCATCCCACACAGCCAGGCTCCATCCTTAGGCCAGTTATCCACGCTCCATTGCTGACCTCTTGTCTTGTTCCTGACTTCTCTTCCCTTCCCATGCCTCTGTCACCCTGCAAAAGCCACAAGCCCCTGCAGGGCAGGGGCAACATAATCTATCAGGGAAGCCCCTTTCCTAAGCTAGAACCATTTTTGTGCCACTTATGAAAGACAACATAAAATACATCTGTTGAACAATTCAGAGCACTCACAGCCTTCGGAGGTCCTTCAGGTCAGGCCCCATGTATTAAGGATGAGGAAACTGAGGCCCAAAGAAGGCTGGGCTCTGGCCTACCATTTGTCAAGCTAACCCCAACACTACCCTCCACTCCTGACACTACCCCCCCCCATGTCTCTGGTCCCCATGTTGGCAGCTGTGGCCAAGAGGATCAGGAAAGTCAGTTACCTTCCCCAATGGGAGTGGCTCCGGACCCAGGCTGTGGGGCTGCATTCTAGTCCGTACATCACTGTGTCCCCATAGTCCAAAAAGGGTTTGTTTATTCTGGGGGTGGGGGTGGGATACAGGAAAAGCAGAGAGTAAGGTTAGACAGTAACAAAGGGAGACACTGAGTCACGGGCCAGTTCTCCACCTGTTACCCTAGGGGACCTTTGAGCCTTGCAAGGACCACTTGGGGGGACATACACATATGTGTATGCACATGCATACATGTTCATGTGTGTACAGGTACACACACACACACACATACACGAAGGCCAGATGTGGATGCTGGGTGTCTTTCCCAATCGCTCTCTGCCATTTTACTTTTTGAGACAGGGCCTCTTCCTGAACCCAGAGCTTGTCCACTATTAGAATGGCTGTCCAGGAAGCCTCAGGAACTTCTTGTCTCTGCCTCTCCAGTGCAGCTACTGCAGGAGCTCACTTCTGCACCCAGCTTCTTTTTGGTTTTTAACATGGTTACTGGGTTACTCAACTCAAATGCCCATGTCTACACAGTAAGCATTTTACCAAATGAGCCCTCTTCCAACCCCTGGGTCACAGGTATTAAGTAAATGGCATGGAATCCTCAACACAATCCACAAGCATCTGGGAGAGGTATTTCAATGCAATAAACTAACATGCACAAAAATTCAAATGTGGTCTCTGCCCTTTGGACATATGTAAATTTAACAGATAAGCCCGAGGGGAAAAAATTTAAAAACAGTAATAAGCAGGGAAAGCAACACCACAGGGACAGCAGCTATCCCCAGCTAGGTGATGAACCCAGATGAGCTGTACAACCCACTTTCAGGCTGATGAAGGACCATGCTGGCAATCTCTGCCCCCCAGGAAGTGGCCCGGGGCTCTCACCTGCGGGACAAGTGATGAGCACACTTCACCAGGATACCCATGCAGTGCACGGCCACGATGCCAATCACCAGCAGGCTAAGAGGACCCAACTAGGGATGGAGGTTACAGACAAAAGAAAGAGAAGCAGACAGAATTAGGAGCCCAAAGGAGACTACATGTGCAGATGATAAAATGCTATTAAGGCATTTCTGGGGACAGATCTCTGGCCTGCAGGAGGGAGAGATTATCCAGGAGACTTGATCTGCATGTGTCCTCAGCCCTGGCCCAGGCAGTTAATCTTGTGGACAGTGGATCCACAGGGCAGAAGTTCCTGGCAGGGGCTCTGGGATGCAGGAGGGAAGTTTATCCTGAGGGCAATCGGCAAGGTCAGCACTTGGATGGCCAGCATCTCTGAAACCATGGTGCTGGGCAAGCAGACTGTGTGTGGTGAGTCAAAGGGAGGGCAGGGCTGTTAGCTAAAGCCGGTGAGCCAGGCTCTGAGCCTAGGAAGGGCCTGGCATCCAGAGAGCCCTAATACACAGCTTTCGATGCATGAATGTCTAAAACCCTTACCAAGAGGCCTGCATTTCTCACTGCCAGTGGCAGCCCCAGGAGTCCGGTGCCAATGTTGCCTTTTAGCAGGTGGATCAAGGTCTGCAACCATCTGTGGTAAGAAGGCCAAGTGGTAAGTGTTAGTTACAATGCAGGTCAATGCTTCTCTGCATGGCCCCAACATAAAGAGCCTAATCACATTGTCTTATCTGATCTCCCAATCTTGTGATATTTTTTTTCATAGATGAGGGACTGACTTCTCCAAGGAGCAGGCCTCCAAGGAGCAGGCCTCCCTGAGCCCTTGCCTCTTAGAAGCTGGTTCAGAGAGATAATGGAGGCTCTTTCTAAGCATTCCATCTTTTCTGGCTGTATTCAGGGCTGGATTTGACCACGGATGACTCCCAAAATGCCACAGAGGATGACAAGGTATAACTATGAAGGGTAGACCTCAGTGTGGGAAAATGGGGGTAACCAAAAAGTAGAGTACAAGCTGGCTGAACTGGTGACAACATTTAATCCCAGCACCTAGGAGGTGGGGACAGGCGGGTCTTCAAAAGTTCAAGGTTAGCCTGATCCACACAGCCAGTTCCAGGCCAGCCAGGACTATACAGTGAATCTCTGTCTTAAAAACAAAAAAGGAACAAACAATAAATAAATAAAGTCCAACCCCTCCACAATACCAAGGGACTCAACATTCCTACTAGGCCAGGCATGACGGCACTTGGGAGGCAGAGGCAGGGAAATCTCTGTGAGTTCAAGGCCAGTCCTGATCTACATAAGTTCCAGGACAGCCAGGACTAAGTAGAGAGACCCTGTCTCAAAACAACAAAAATTTCCTATTGGACTTTGTGTGTGAAGAAATAGAGGCCAACTGTTACTGTGGGTCCAGGACTAGAGGAACCCTCTTCAGTGGGCCCCTGTGCCTTAAGGGCAGAGGTCCCTCTAAATTTGTACAGACTGCCCCATTGTTTTATGACTTATACAAAGCTTCTCGTGTGTTCTCATTCATTTTTTTTTTTTTCACTCAACAAATACTTCTGTGGATATGGAGGAGTCAGATATGAAAATCAGCCTCTAGAGATATGTAATGTCTCAAGGGAAACAAGAGATGAAGGGATGAGGTTAGAACCAGGGGGGATTGAGGCATGTGAGTGGAGGGCAGAGAGCTGAGGCCGGAAGGTGAAGTGTGTGAGTGTGTGTGTTGTGTGGGGGTAACTGCCACAGGAGAGGGGAGGCTGCAGACCCTAATGAGGAACAAGGACCACATGAGGTCAATCAGGAGTCTCCCCCTCTGTAGGGAAGACCAATCCATCCCAGACTGCACAGGAGTGTGCCAGTTGTGGCCTTTCTTTGCCTTTTGTTCCCCACGACAGAGTAGGAAACAGCTCAAGTGTGGTGCCTTCGGTCACTCAAGGCTTGCCCTGGACATAAAAGTCCTTTTGCACAAACAGCCCTCAAGACCCCTCTCAAAACGGATACTTGCACACAAATCTGAATTTGACAGAAAACAATGGCCAACAGCAGTTGCTACTCACAAAGGTCATTCCCTCAAGTCTATCAGAAAGGTCATCTGATCTACCTGCCATTCTGGCATCAGCAGGATGGAACACCAAGAAATGGCCCTTGACTCCCAGGAGAGATGTGCCTGGCCCCTGTGCTCTAGGGCCACAGCCCAGAGTCCTGCAAGGGTCCAACCTCATTATCAGCAGCCAGTAGCCAGGAGATAACAGGCCTGTTTAACCCACTTAAGTGCAAAGGTAAGTCTGTACCACACCCTCCCTCCACCATGAAGCCTTCCCAAATGCCTCTGTGCGAGGCTTCCCGGCCCGACTCAGCTGTTTGTCACTTGGCGTGGCCATTCCTTCCATTCTGGGAACTCTTATCTCACCTGAACAGTTGAGTAGCGGGACCAGGGCAGGTGAAGTCCCTTCAGTTCAGAAACAGCAGGATTCTAGGCCAAGGATCAAAATTGCCCAAGATGATGTCCCCTCAGCACAGGTGGGTATCATAGCATCACCTCCAAGGCTGTGGCATTCTAGCCACAGGGTGAATTAGCTTCCAAGATAGAAGGGGAGGGGAGGGGCCTACCAGGCCCCTCTGGTTTTCTTTCTTTTGTGCTGAAAGTAGCTTTTAGGCTTTTTTTTTTTTTTTTTTTTCTGATCCCAGGTCCTCTTTTATTCTCTGATGAATTGAGAACCCTTGATATCTTTGCTTATGTAGGTTCTATCTGCAGATACGTTACATTACTAGAGCTCCAATTCTAAAATTTTTAATTTAAAATAATAGTAAGTCTAATACATACTAACAGTTTAATGATTAAAGTTAAATATTGGAATTAATTTTTTAGTTTATGTGTATGGGTGTTTTGCCTGCATGCATGTCTGTGAACCACATAAGTGTTGTGACCTCACAAGCCAGAAGGGAGAGTCGGATTTCCCGGGACTGGAGTTATGGACAGTTGAGCCACCAAGTGGGTGCTAAGTATCAAACCAGGGTCCCCTGGAGGGGCAGCAACCATCTAGATCTCCAACCACTCATTTTTAAATATTTTTATTTATGTGAATGTGTGTGAGCATACACACATACTCACACTCATGCGCATATGAGTGTCCTCAAAGGCCAGAAGAGGGTATGGGATCCCCTAAAGTTGGAGTTTAGATAGTCAGGAGCTGCCCAGTGTGGGTGCTGGGACCAGAACTCAGATCCTCTACAAGGGTAACAAATAATCTTAACTACTGAGCCTGCGCTCCAGCACCACCTCCCCCATCGCTGTTTAAAATATCTTCTAAATGTCTCATCTAACAGGAGACAGCTGGGTTTCTGTCTCAACATTCAAGCTGTATGTGTTGCTTTGGTGAAAGTCTATGAGAAAGTGTGTTCTCCCTAGACATGTAGCTGGGGAAAAAAGGGACATTTTATCTGCCTCTTCAACTATGGCAATTCTTCTCTGACATTCTTCCAAAATGAAATGCAAGGGTTCCTTATCAGTTAGCTGCAATGTGGACTCTGAACCTCCCATGGTCCCTTGCAGCTGTCTGCAGGGACCTTTCCCTAACATATGTGGAGGTTCCAAATTCTAACCTCTTTCATTACGTCAAATGACCTCACGGGAAAGCATTTCTGAGAGCACAGTGCTTGTTCTGCTTGTTTGTTTGTTTTTCCAATTTTACTTGAATGCTCAAATTGCATGTGAGTCACAAAAACATTGTTGATGGTTTTTCTTGAGTTAATGGGTTCATTTCTTTCATTTTCAAATCCTAAATATTAGGATCATTAGGGTTTGAAAAACCTAGTTAGCTGGTTGTTGTTCTTTCTAGTAAAATAAACTGTATCTATTTTTATAAAAAGAAACAAAAACTAAAGTTAGTTCAGTTGGAAACTGGCAATACTCACACTCTGGTATTTGGGTTTTTTTTTTTTTTTTTTTTTTTTTTTTTTCTTTTTTTTTTTAATAGCGACTACTAAGAGATCCATGCTAAGGGGTACAATTTAATAAGAATGAATAATTTGAATAATTTCACTATCTCATCAAGAACCTTTTTGGTTATTGGAGACAGGGTCTCGTGCATCCCAGACTGGCCTTGAACTCCCTGTATCATCCAGGATGACCTTGATCCTCTGGCCTCCAACTCCCAAGTGCAACCACACTTAGTTTATGTGTTGCTGGGAATGAGACCTAGGGCATAGTACATGCCAGGCAAGCACTCTGCCACCTGAGCTACAACCCTTGTCAAGGGTAATCTTAAATAAAGCTGATCTTTTCCTTACTCACATGTGACTAGGTAATGTACATGTGTGGGGATGAGGGGGAGGGGGAGGAAGCTGCAGACACACACACAGTTCCTGCATCCTCGAACACTTGTGAGCAGAATGAAAGGCAAATAACTTCTTAGCACTTTTAGGAAGGGAAACAGTCTTGGGACCCCAAAAGCTCTGCAGACCATACTTTGGCAAATGGCCGTTCCAAGTCAACAAAGACCAAGAGGTAGTTGTTAGCTGGTATCTCAACCTGCTGGCCTGGGGAAGCGCCGCTGAGGTCTCAACAAGGCAACAAAATGAAAATGTGTCCTACTGTGTGTAACTGTCCTACTGTGTGTAATCCATCCTACAGCATTATCAGAGGCTGCCGTCAGTGCTGTCAACAACTCCATGGCACCAGGGGAAATCCGAACACTCTTGTCACAGATATGCCTAAGGTCTCTATGTTATTGCACTCATTATTTTGGGCTTTTAACTGGTCTTTTAACTTCTAGAAGAGTCGGATGTGGTTAAGCAGCTCTTCCAAGGTACTTTGCTCCTTAATAAAGCAGAAAACAAGGAAGTGTAAAGGCTTCAAATCAAGTCCCTCACACTACCTAGGAGAGGTAAACAAGGGCCCACAATAAGCCTTGGCCCACCTGGTATGTTTCCTGAATAAATGCCTGGGTAGATCTTGTCCCCAGGCTGGAGTGACCAATACTCTAAGACCCAAATGAGTACTTGCCTCAGTACCTTAGAAAATGTCCAAGCACAAGCCAAATGAGGGAATTATCTGCTTGGCTTGATCTCCAAGAAACCAGAGAAAGTGATAAAAGCAACCTTGAGGACAGCCCAGGCATGCATCCTTGACCTGGAAAACCCAGCCAGCTGGTCTTGTGTTTCAGAGGATGTCTCTGTAAAAGTGAAAATTTAGAGTGTGCACAGAAAGCACTGTGCAAACAAGTTGATGATTGGAAGAAGTATTTCACAACCCCTGAAGGGATTTCCTTCTCCCTGGGAGACATTGATAGGGCAAATGAGGTCAGAGGGAAGAAAGGAAGGAGGTCCTGGCTGCCACCAGCAGCACCTTAAGCAACCTTTTCCACCAGCTAACTTGCAAATAAATCAGGGATCTATAGCAGTATGTTGTTTGGGAGACAAGCTAAAAGCCAGAATCCTTGTGTCAGCAGTGACAAGGAGCCAGTCATGTGAACAGACCTTTTTCCATGCCCACCTCAATTCACAGGGGAAAATGTCTCTTCCAGGAGAGAGAGCAGGAAGAGGGCATGTCCCCACAACTTCCACAGCCCCTTCGAGCAGTCATAGAGAATGGAGGTGTGTAGCATTATACTAAGACACTAAGGCACAATGCAGCCCTCAGTAATTCACATCCAACCCACAGAAAGGGTGACAGCTGAGATTCGGGATAAATGACAGGGCTGCCAAGGACAGGGTCCTGGGACCTTGAAAAAGGCAAGGGGCATGCTGGGAAAATCAGAAAAGAACCCCTCCCTCTAATGTTTGCAGTTCAAGGAGTAAATGTCATACAGCCAGCTCAGTTTCCCAGGGGGGCTTCTCAACTGGTCTTTATATCAGGAGAAACTGGGGACCGAAGAGGGCCGAAGATGAGACAGGTTCAGCTTCCAGGATTCAAGACAGCAGCCTCCTTAAGGAATGCAAAGTGGATCTCTCTTCCCTACCAACTCTGGAGGGCTTTTAAATACAGTTGCCACTCTCTCCCTCCACTTCTTCAGCCTAGTGATGGGACAGAAGTCCCAGGAGGCTCTGCCAAGGAGGCACTAATGGGACCAGGAGGTATCTGACACTTGGTTCTAGCCCCAGAGATTATCCACCCCCAAAGGCTTTCAAGTCAAAGTTCTTCCTGGCCACCAGCCTTTTGGACTAGGGAGAGGCAAAGCCCCTTGCTGGCCTGCCCGTAGACAGCATGCTTTCTTCTGTCAGACAGGGTATGTAAAGTGGGAAGATGGAGGCACAAACTGCTCCAAGGGAGACTGGGGGACAGGAAAGTCCACTCCCAGGCAGGAGGTCTCAAGTACTCACGTAGTGCTATTGTTCTCCCCTAAGCGTTGGTAGGAGCCAGAAGAGAAGTTGCCAAGGCCTTCAGAGGGGCTCTCTTCAGGGCTCACGTCAGTGGAACTGTAGTCATGATAGTCTTCATTCCGAAGTCTCTGCGTGGACATGGTAGCTGCGGGGACAGAGGCAGTGCTAAGATCTCCAGAAACTGTGGCTTTCATCTCCAAGTGTGGGGTGGTGGGCTCAGACACAGAGGTAGCCATTGTCACAGCTGCTCCCAGTGACAGATACACTATGGAGTGAGTCTGACTAGAGTGCCTAGTGCCAACCCAGGAGAACGCAAGAAGCACGAAGTCCACAGGACAGACTGGGACTGCTTGGCCTCTGCCTCCCCACCTTCCCACATGGTGTCACGCTCATAAATTTCTAAATTCATCCTAGGGCACCTGGGCAACAGATAGGTAAGGCGATGCTGGGCAGGGTAATGCAAGTGTGCACTTCCAGGAAGCCTCCTCTGGTCTTCTGATTGGGTTCACCACCCCCCACCCTCTTCTGACCTTATCTCTTGGACCTCAAACAGTAGTTAAATCACACACCTTTCCCAAGAGCGAGCTCTCGGGTGATATGAACCTGGTTTCTTTGGGTGTCTTTTTTATCCTCTGCCTTCAGCAGAGACCATGGTTGTAGTCATGAAATCCCCTCTGGGTCACCCAATTCTGCTCCAGCTCCACAGGGTCCCCGACCACAAACAACCCCCTCTTTGCCCCCATGAGTTCAGCCCATCTCCCACTTTTTGAAAGCTATGATGGTTAATTTTAATTGTTACCTTGACACAACCTACAATCACCTAGAAAGAGGATCTCAGTGAAGGTCTGTCTGTCTAGATCAGGTTGGCCTGCAAACATGTCTATGGGGGAACTGTCTTAATTAAGTTAACTGATGTGGCAAGACACCACCCACTAGGGGCAACACCATCCCCTAGAAAAAAATCTAGCTGGGTACAAACAAGCAAGTGAGCTCATCTGCACTCATTTCTTTTTGCTCTTAACTGTGGATGCAATTGACTATTTCAAGTTTCTGCCACCTTGACATCCCTGAATTAAACGGACTATACCCTAAAATTATGAGCTAAAATAAACCCTTTCTCCTCTCAGTTTGTTTGCATTGGGGCTTTTCACCATAGCAACAAGGATGAAACTAGGACAGAGTGATCAGGAAGGCTCTTCTCCTCACCCTGAGCTCGTTTCTTGCCACCAATCTGAGTGCTGGAATAGGTGGCTGACCATAGCTCAGAGGAAGAGGAATGGGAGCAGGAGAGACCATTAGACACTCCATCTTTGTCTCAGTAGCTACTCTCCACAATGCTGTATTGGGGCTCATAAAATGATAACCTAAAGTACAGTACCAAAAGTGCAGCTTTGGCATGCCAAGCACTTTGAACTAAAAGAGACCTGCAGACCACAGAAACTGCCTCAACAGCAATCTGCTGACCTCTTGTGCCATGCCTCCTTGCCAACCTTTGTTCCTGAAGTTCAACCTCAAAAACCAGAACTCTTCCCCATTCTTCAAAGCAGCCTCAAAACCTAAAATGGACATTCTGTCCCTTCTGCTTTCTTAGTCCTATCCTGGAAGGAGGGAAAGTTCCATGTAGAGGCAGAAAGGACCTGAGTGGCCAGACTGGTGGGGTGTAGCTCAGTTGGTTTCTACTATCCCACACAGCTGCCCATGCTTGAGCAAATCAGAGCATACAAGTAGGGATGTAAGCTCAGGGTGGACGGTTCCCCCTGGTCTTTCCATATCCTTCTCTGAAGTCTCCCACATCTCACAAAATGTTGACTAATTAATTCATTCATTCATTCATCAGTTTTGTTACAGGAGTGTTGGCTGTGACCTTCATGACTGAGAGGACGATGTTACACCTTTTCTGCCCTATGCCTTCTCTTAAATTTTTATAGATTTGCTCATGTTTAAATTAAAAGATGGTGAAAGAAGTAACCCTCCCTGTTCTATACTGATGAGGGATGGTGAGGGTGTGTCTTCTCCACATGGCTCTGGGGAAGAGAGGAAGGGAGGGTTTCTCTCCACCAAGTGAAAGTTGTGGGAGCCCCCAAAATCCCAGCCCAGTGCTAAGGAGCCTTCACAAGTCACCTCAAGATCCTCATTGCATAGATGAAGGCTCTCCTAAAGATGGAGGAACTTGTTCTGTAGCAAGGCCAGAAGCATATCTGCTTCCTGACTGTCCATTGGTTTGGAAATTTCTACTGATGACAGTGCCAGGTGCTGTGGGAACTAAATGGAAAACAGTCAACCTCCTATCCTTCAAGAATCTGCAGTCAAATTAGGGTGGGGAAGTACATTAGCAGTAAAAATGATGAAGAAAACCCTTCCTTTCAGCCTGGCGGTGGTGGTGCACGCCTTTGATCCCAGCACTTGGGAGGCAGAGGCAGGTGGATCTCTGTGAGTTCTACCTGGTCTACAGAGCTACTTCCAGGACAGGCTCCAAAGCTACAGAGAAACCCTATCTTGAAACAAACAAACAAACCCATCCCTTCTCCATCAGGCTGCCCCCCCCCCCCGGCATGCAGACACCAGCCCGGCTCTCAGATGCTACCTCTGGGTGAGAAGCTGAGTCTCCAACTGCCACCCCAACACCAGCTGCCCAGAGGGTGTCTTTCTGCTCAGGGCTCCCCTCTGCGGATGCTTGAAAAGCAGCCCTGCTTGCAGCATAAGAGTGATCCAGGGACACATCTACCAACTACAAGTGAGGAAAGAATCTGCATCCTCACAAGGGAACTGCAAAGTGGAAAGTCAGTAAAGGGCCTGTTTTAGTTCACGTTCTGTCATGGTAACAAACTGTCTGAGGCTAAGTATTTTATTAAGAAATAAGCAGGGGCTGGAGAGATGGCTCAGTGGTTGAAGAGTACTAGCTGATCTTCCAGATCCTGAGTTCAAGTTCCAGTAACCACATGGTGGCTCACAACCATCTCTAGTGGGATCTGATGCCCTCTTCTGGCATAAAGGTGTACATGCAGATAGAGCACTCATGCATAAAATAAATAAATCTTTTTTAAAGAGGGAGGGAGAAGGAAGGGAGGGAAGAAGGGAGAGAGAGAAAAATGAGCTCACTGGCTTCCCTCAAGGGTCTCACACTGCTTTAGGCAAGACAGAAAACCGGAAACCCAAGGGGAAGTGAGGAAGAGAGGTCATAAGAGTGAGAAAGAGAGGTCACAAGGTGAGAAGAGGCCAAGGGGAGGAGCTACGCTCACTTCATAACTGTCTGCTCCCACTGTTACTAACCCACTTGCTGGGCAACTCACCAATCCCTCCTCGAGAGTAGAGTCCCGTGGGTCTCTTAAAGACCCCAACATTTCTCAACACCATCATCCTGGGGACGGAGCCTCAACATGACTTTCAGTGTAGATAAAGCACATTCAATCCAAACAGTGCCTGCAACCCCAGGGAGGAACCTCCCTGTTCCATTTCCACAGGCTCCCCTGAGAGTTTAAGGGTTCCACTTAATCATGTGTTGCAGAGATTCAAGCACATCTGAGGACATTGAACTCACAGTGGGCCAGGAAAAGAAAACCTGCACTGATGTAGAAAGCTGGAAACCTCCTTGTCACACAAGCAAAAGCTAATAATAAGTTGACATGCATGCCAGGAGGTCTGGGTGTGAGGGTGGCTCTGTCACCGATTTGCTTGGTAACTTTGAACAATTTCCTTTCCTATGATCTTAGTCTACAAATGCAAAAATCAGAGTGGGAAGTGCAGACTGGGGCTCCTCTGTAGCTCTGATGCGCCAGTCAAAGGATGTTATTAGTTATGTGAACATCAACTTATTTCTAGACTCTTCTGACAAGCCCCACGTGTCTAAACAGAACCTTGTATGTGAACTGTGAGTGTTACTGAAGGCAGAGACAAAACAGGATGATAAATACCCCAACCCACCACAAAACCACTGTGGCCAGGGAATGGTGGCTCACCCTATAACTCCAGCAGTCTGGGGACAAATTACAAATTTAAGGCCAGCCTGGGCAATACAGTAAGACCTTGTCTCAAAACCCCAATTAAGCCAGACATGGTGGCTCATGCCTTTAATCCCAGCACTTGGGATCTCAGCGAGTCCCAGCAGGACTACATAATGAGACCTTGTCTAAAAACATTTCAATTTAATAATAAAATACAGAAAGTTTATTTTAAAGAAACTGCTGTGTCACAGATTCTCAATTTATCCCTGCCACTGTTAGGAGGTCCCTCTGCCATATGTAAAAAGTGAAGTTCCCCACAGGAGAATGAAGCTAACTGCTCAAAAATAAACTGAAATCTCTGGATCTAAGGTCTAATGGGTGACTACTGATATGTGAGATGTGGCTTAGCACCTGTATGCATATTGATAACTGGGGAGATGCTATGTATAGGCACTGGTTAATGATAAACTTAAAATAAATCAATAACAGTAACACATACTAAATAAGCAGGTGATTTCGATCTTCACCAGCAAGAAGAGAAGAGGCAGGCAGACAGTGGCACGTGGCTTGGACATGCATTATTGCATTGTGTTCCAGGCAACACACAGAAAGAATCATGAAGTTATAATACACCGTAGATCCAGGGCTCAGGGCCAGGACCATCAAAGGTAGAAATCTGATAAATAAGAAGGCAATGAGAACATCCAGCCTTGTGATTTAAGAACTACATTTGTTTTGTTTTTGTTTTGGCTTGTTTGTTTTTTGTTTCTGTGATGGGGATCAAATCCACCGAATCACAGACTAGGAAATGCTCTACCAGTGGGCTGTAGCACCAGCTCTCTCTTACCCCATTTTATTGTTGTTGTTGAGACAATCTTGCCTCTGAACTCACTTTTGAGATCTTCTGGCCTCAGCCTTCCAGGAGCTGGAATTACAGGCCTACACCCCCAGGCCAGACCACAGAAACAGTCTTTTTGTTTGTTTTGTTTTGTTTTTTGAGACAAGGTTTCTCTGTATTGCTTTGGAGGCTGTCCTGGAACTAGCTCTGTAGACCAGGCCTGACTTGAACTCACAGAGATCTGCCTGCCTCTGCCTCCCAAGTGTAAGTGCTGGGATTAAAGGTGTGTACCACCACTGGCCTGGCCACAGAAACAGTCTTTAAGGGCTGCCACAAATGTTAGACTTCTTTGGGGCCTTAAGATCT